GGCCTGCTCCTGATGGCAGTGAATTAACAGACCGATAACAGACGTCGGCACCGGGATGGAAGAAGAAATTGGCAAAATTGGCTTCCTGAAAGTTGGCGTCATTCCCTGCCTGTCCATTGTTGCATGGACAGGAGGGAAGTCCCATCGGTTGCGTATTTCTCAACTGGTACTTGGAAACTTCACAGGTAATTGCAGTCGCAATGAAAACTATGGGAGAGTAAATCCTCAACCGCCTCAACAGTGGCCCACCGATATCCCTTCGTTGTCGTGCGGAAGACGGAGTAAGATAAAACGCCGAGAGAGACAGTCCATCATTAGAGAAAGATTGGAGCTGATTTGGATTAATCGTCAGACTACCGTTGTTCAAGACGTCGTCCTTCAATACCACACCTTCCATTAAGACCGGATTTCCCTCGATGTTGTAATCGGCGTCTTGCCCCATCAGAGTCACACGTGAGACGTCTTTACCAAGACTACGAGGATCCCAGGATAACATGATCGGGTCATCTGAGGTAAGGTTAACGATGTCATCGCCATACTTAGAATTGACCTGTTGGACAGTTAGTGATGGAAGAAGGTCCTCTTCAGAGGCAACATAGACTATTCCAGAATAGTGGAACGAATTGCCCTCGTCAAGTGAGACACCAACGGATATAAGTCCGTTCTTGTAAAATGTGGGGGTGATACAGATAACGGTGTAGGCGTCAGTGCGTTCGCCAGGTACCACAACGTCTCCGAAACCAGTGGAAAATTTACACTGGGCACCGGGATAGGATACTTCATTGCTTTCCAAGCACGGAACGGTTGTAATGAAAACCTCGCCACCAAGTTCTCGTAAGTAGTACGATGTTAAACTCAGAAATTCTTCGTTACTTGTAAGAGACAAGCCGGCAGCATAACCATAGGACTCACGAATTTCATATCCATAGACAATAACTGACAATGGCGATGACTGAAGGTCTATTTGTTTCACGTGATAAACCCCTTCTCCTTTAGGCAGTTGGACAGTCAGTGATGTATAATCAGTGCCATGAACGTCACTTTCTGTTACATTAGGCCCGTTGATAGGAAATCCATTTAGGTAAACATTCTGGCGCGAGTTCTTTTTCACAATGATGTTGATAAAATTGAAGAAGCCATCACGATCCTCTCCAGAGTAGGGCGGTGTCGTGAACCCAAACTCGTAATCAAAGTGCTCCACAGAAGGAACCTGTATCAGTGAAGGGTTCACCAGTTCGCCATTAACGTGCACCAGCTGCTGTGTCATTAGAGTTGGTTTGGTTGAAGACACGAGACCGGAACCAGACAAACTCCCTTCCCAAAATTCACCAGCACCTAATGACTGGTTTCCAAATCCTGGGATAGTGACAATTGTATCAGTGAAATAGGCAACGATTCGGTAACTGTTACTGTCGGTGTTTCGGGCTGCAGTGTAGATGTGATTTTCTCCCCAACTTTTGACGGGCACCAGCTGTTCAGTCAAAGTGTCGCAGTTTGACCCCGGATTACTTACACATTCATTGCCGCTAAATATGGCAACTGGCCTGTTAGTCTGAACAATAGTACCAGTTAAGTCTTCTAATACGTCCCCTTGAAGATGAACAGCTTCCAGTTTGTCAACCATGAAACTCAGAACGTCGCCATCAACATAAGTCTGTCCGTCGAAGGTCACTCTACCACGTAAGACAATTTGAACCATGGTTGAATCCTCCGTCCCTATCACAGAAAACTGGCCCCGCAAAATTCCCACCGGCGTAGACATCACCACAACGTATTGCATACCGAGCTTACTTGTCGGTATGGCGAGGAAACCGTCCGTAGTGTAATTTTGAAGCATTAGGCCGTACGCAGCCACCTCGGAAGATGCTGTCACTTCGATGCCCTTGAAGCTTCTCCCGTTTGCTTCCATTACCAACTCGGAAGGAAGTATGGTTCGTATAAATCCACCAGCCTCTAAGACAAAGGTCTCCTGGAATGGCTTTCCATCTACCTGGAACTTGCTGCTGATTGTGACCAGTGTTTGCTCATCACTGAAAGCAACAACCAACACGGTCAGCTCGCTCGGTTCAGAACCCAGATAGTTGTCGGAGAAACCGAGGACAAAATTGGTTCCTCTCGATGTCCCAATACATTGCGGCCGGTTGTTATCTGGCTCCAGTAACTCGGGATGCACCGCAGAGACCGGTTCTTCGGGATAGGCAAGTACCATGAAGACGACGAGCCAGAGGAGGTGGATCTTCGTTAAATTCATACTGCAAAAAAGGTCAATTGTAAGAATAAGTGTCTGATTTTCAGGATGGCCCCAAACAAACTGCTAAGTTTTCACATTTTTACATTGGCATTTTGTACAGACAGATGACAAACTGAATGGCGTTTTCCAGGAGTCAAAATTCACCTGTATCAATGAAACATGGATCACGTATGTTTGACCCCCATAGACTGTGCGTGCATTTGTTTGTGTATTCGAGCATGCGCAAAAGTGACAATTTGTCGTCAGCACGAGTAAGTATTCTGGCAGACGACGCATATCGGTGGTGACACCACGGACATGTTTAATAAAATCTGGACTCAAAATGCCCTTAATCAGCTTATGGAGATCATAGAATCCACTAGCGGCCATTTTACCGAGCCGAATACAAAGCTTGCCCGGCAATGCCCGCCTTTGTTCTTCTTGACGACGCCGCTGGTTGGCTTCTTTTTCATACAAAGGTTTTGCAAGTCCAGGTTTTTTTTATAGGCCTATACGTCCGTGGGTGACACACGTGAGAGATTGTGCTGCCATGTCCCTTGAAGACCTTGTATGTGAATAAATTGTCAAGTCAATTGCATTGTCAAATGGTGATATTTAATAGCTTCTGGTAAGAAAGATCTCCGGAAAATAATCAAAGAAGTGAAAAATGTCAATTTTTCGAAAAATCACAATTAATAACATAATTTTTTACCTAACTTTGTATCAAAATTTCACAATTTTGCCAGGTTTACCTTCAAATAACTTTGATGCCACATGAAAGACAAGTAACTTTTAATATAAAAAAGTTCATTACTTCTAAGAAGAAAACCTTTTCTTTGAAATTCGCTTCGTTTTTAATTGGGCTAATTCTCGTCATTTTTGTCCTTATTTCGTAATGTAGATTGCCCGGGGTCGGCTCGTAAGTCCGACGCCTCATAAGTCCGACAAAATGTGTTTAAAAGTTCCAACGGTTTTTTCGGCCCATGGCATAGATCCAACGCCTCAAAAAATCCGACGCCTCGAGAAAGTCCGACGTTTGATTTGACGCTCGTTACGAGCGTATGAAGACGCGGGTGCTGTGAACAAGACCGGTTCCTGGTGTCAAGTATGGTGTACTACTTATGACACATACAAACATTTCTAAGATTTCAAAAGTATTACAGTCGAAAAATGCATTTTTATACTTAGCCAAGTATCATACTTATCATTCTTACACGTAGTGGTATTTTGAATTAAACAAATACTGGACCAGTGTACGAACTGTGCAGGAATTCTGCTTAATTTAGTTCTCCTAACAGGGTCAGTACCTTGGGCACGAGTAGCGAACAAAGTTGAATTTCACTCGCGGGCGACGCGTCGCACGGGCCCGCACTCCTCCATGTTTCACAGTCAATCGCACTGACGCCTCATATTAAGTCCGACACCTCGTTGGGCCGACGTGGGATTTATGAGGCATCCGACTTACAATGCCCACCCAATTGTTCGTAGTGGATAAACCCTTGTGCATGCCGAACAATGCACGTAGCCACTGTAATTTTTTCCTGGTAAGTTTACCAATCCTGCGTATGTCTTTACTGATAAATGAATTACAGTAATTTTTACGGTAAATCATTGTCATTTATTGGACAGTCGTTAATAATTATACTTAGACAATGTAGCCGTCAGTCACAGTAACTTGCCATTTTCATTGATTATGGATTCATTCAACATGTTTCTGGTATAAGTTCTACAGATTACATGTATAGTGCAGATACATAATGTATGTACCTCGTATCCAGAAGTCTTGATCGCAGCCGTACTTCATTTTACACTCTTAATCTTTGCCGCAGTTTGTTATGGTACTGCCGAGAACGCATCGAGGTGAGCTTTTGTTCTTAAATAGTAAATATAATAATCTTCCGAAGTTGATATTTTCCAACGTGACTGAACCTCGAAAATCAAAACAAAAACAAAATACCCCCCTTGGTTTTGAACCAGGAACACCCACAATAGCAAATCCCTTCTTTATCCTGTATCATGGTACGTTTCGCAAACCAGCCCGATGAACCTCCCCCTTCTTTGTGCCTGCGACCCAGTAATGGCGCTGAAGCTGTTACTTAATTTAGGTAGTGCCGTAATATTTTTGACCGCGTCCCGAACAGCTTCCCTTCTCAGGTAAGAGCTTAGTAGTGATGTAATGACGCAATTTTAAAATCAGTTTTAACTCATTCTGATTTTTTCTACTTTGAAACAGAATTCAATTTTATATCGAAAATGATTTCTCACTTGCCACTCACTGGCTACTTCTGAAAAGTTCTGGCGGCAATAAATAATCACAAAAGTTTTATCTATTCTCCGACCATATTTAAGTGGGGAGTAACAGTTAATCAAAGTTATTCTCGAAAGGGTTTGAAGTTAGACGTTTTAACACAGAATTCCAGAGTCTAGGGTCGATTCGGGCTTGTCAAAAAATCGCCTTCAGAGCTTGATAGAGAACACTTGATAAACTCAGTGGATTAAATTTTTTTCTCACCTGGTCATTGCAGTGATCCACCAATCTACCCTGTCTTTTCTCTTACGTCGATGAAAGGCTCAACCCAGCTCAAAACCCGATTCTGTAAGGTAACATTGAACTATGAAATTTTGCTGAATGAGTGCAATTCTAAGCAATTCTGTCAAGCTGTGATGATCACGTATTTCTCAAACTTTTGATTGAAATTTTACAATAACAAAACGATAGGCCTACCTTTTGATCAGTTCCGAAAGAAATATGCTCTTTGCAATATCGAATGTCTAACTGCGTAAGAACCTTCTATAGTTCCTGTTATAACTACAAAATTAATTTTGAAATCCTACCTTCTAGTGCGATTGTACAAAAACAGGAACGATCTCGGTTACATAGATATTTATCCTTCTCAACCCTCCTCTCATTGGTTCAAATTACCAACGGGAAATTACGAAATCTGGCAGAGAAACATTCTGGGTTAGTCCCTGCTATTGTCATATTTTGCTGAAGCGTTGTTAATAAATGCGCCTTTGTGAAATTTGTCTGACCTTCCCCCTGAGATGGGTGGCTGATTCAGTCATTCCTGGTGTGATATTGTTCAAGTTTTGTTTAATGTCAGGTCACGCACTTACAGGTAGGCCTATGTAGAAAATATTCTATTCCTTTGTCGTGTACAAGGAAAAAAAATTATTTATTTAGTTAAGTAACAAAGTTATTTATGCGTGCATGAACATCGCACAAGCCTGCCTTTTCAGTGTATATTTTAGAGGAGCACTTCCTCAAACCAAATGGATAGCACTGCATGGTTTTTCCACAGTTCCATGCTATGTGAAAGCAATGGTCATTGCACGAGTACCAAGTGCATGGGGTCTGTGATGTAGGACTTAGTATTATAGGGAAAATGTCTTTGAAACCAAGGCATTTCTGGGACCGAGGAGGTAACTAGATTTCCTATAAAACTTAAAGGCTTTGCTTACCAAGAATCCTTTGTATGATTTTGTCCACATTCCATCATGTGTCGGGCAGCGCCCATGCAAAAGCTATTTTGCTGAGCCTTGAAAAATGTGGAACTATGAGCTTGCAACCAAACCAGAGCGAGCATGGTAACCACTGACGAGCGCGGCATGCCTCTTCCTCATTTGCCACATATCGGCTTATTGTGCTGCCGAGTCATTGGACAGTGGCGTGTCCAGCGGGGGTAAACTTGCCCTTCCCTGAGGGTTTTTTTTAAAACAAAACTTTGTAGGTAAGAAAGTAATCGCTATATTTATTTATTAAATACTGGCACCAAACCCTAGCACCTGAACCCAACATAATGCTGAATGGCAGCCGCTTGAATGCAGTCAAGCACTTGACCTATCTTGGCAGTACAAACTCCAGCGACAACAGTCTTGACAAAGAGGTTGAAAAGCACATTGGTGCAGCCACTGCTGCCTGAGGAAAACTTAAAACCTGGATGTGGAAGAGACACCGGAATCAGCTTGGCCACCTAGAGGAAAGTTTGAATGGCCGCTTAACAGGTCCAATGTCTCCCTGCGAAACGATCCCACCCCTACTAAAAACTGTGCGATACTTTTTAATTAATTGTTGAATAAAATCTAAGCGGTTTTGACCTGCCTCCTTTGCTCTTCGGAAACCTACATCCTCTAAAGAGGACACATACAGCGGTTACCGAGGGTTCGGATGAAACAACTGAGGTACCTGCTGGGGATACACTGGTCTGACAGGGTTCTTGATGTTGAAGTCCTCCGCCATGCCTGCATCCCAAGCAAGGAAGCTCTGCTGAACCAGAAACAACTGTATGGTCCGGCCATGTGGTAAGAACGAGGGACGACATACTCACCTGGCAAAATCGGTTTTTTACGGTGCACTGCAGCAGCAGAATACCAGCAGCGCAGTTAACAACGTGCTGCAAGAGCTTCGACTAGCTCCAACCCACGCCATCATTCTGACCGTGACAACCAACTTGCCTGTCTGCTCTGTTGGAAGCCGTGCAGGCATCGAATTTGACTTCTCTCCCACCAGCGAAACTGCCGGGTTCGTCACGGTCATACTCCTTCACTTTTGCCTCCAGCCCCCTGACACCAAAACCTGCATACACCGCTGTCATTGGACCTCTTGTTGGGAGGTCAGTTGAACACCTTCAGCATTAG